TCCCAATACTCAGCTGACCGTATAAAAGTTGTTTCGGTATCCGCGCCGAATCCATACGGCTCACATGACCGAGCCATCTCAGGTGTCACAGTAAAAGTATGCCGTCCACTGCATACATCCCACTTCGGCGCAAAACTTCCGTGTCTGCAACTCTGGCGCCCCAGCCGATCCGCAAAATTCGTCGCAGACACTGCTGATGGAACCGCTCGAGATATCGCACATCCCGACGGTACATCGTCCACGTTTCACTGCCGTATAGAAGAACGGACAGTACCATGGATTTGTACACCATCAGCTTCGTGCCAATGCTAAGCTGATGGTTGTTCCACACTCGGTACTCAAGGTTCCCGAATGCCGCTGCTGTCTTCGACACGCGATTACGCAACTCAACGTGTAGCTGCTGATCGGTCAATATCACACTCCCAAGGTAGCAAAAGCGGGAGGTGGTTTCCAATACTTCAGCACCAATGCTGATTCGCGGCAATATTGAAGATTGCACATCCGGTGAAGGCTGAAAGAGACAGACAGTTTTGCTTGTGTTGATGGTGAGCCCGAATTTGGCCGCTGTCGAAGCCAGAGCACTAGTCATGTGCTGCAACTCATCCGCGCTGTGTGAAAACAACGCACAGTCGTCAGCAAACAGCAACATACGGATAGTTGTCTCACAGACTAGAGTTCTCGCACCGAAACGACGGATGTTCAGCAACCCACCATCAATACGGTGCTCCACACGAACACCGTAAGCACAAGCCGCATCAAAAGCACAAGACAACATTGCATGAAGATATATATTAAACAGAGCAGGAGCTAACACACAGCCTTGCTTCACACCAGAGACAACTGCAAAGTCATCCGAGGTCTCTCCACTCAGCTGCACCCTCGCTCGCATACCACTGTGCAGACATTCAATTAAACTTACAAACATACACGGGCAACCAAACTTACCCAACACCAGCCACAATGCCTCGCGGTTCACCGTATCAAATGCCTTGGTGAAATCAACAAAATGCGAGTACAATGGCTGGTGTCGTTCTCTGCACACTAGCAATATATATACATATATATATATATATATACAACCAAAACCTTGGAAATTAACAAATAACAAGAATAACTGTCACAAGGAAAACGAACCACGTGCATATTTTTACAGCGTCGTATTTCCAAATTTTGGCTTTTTCAACTGTTGAGCATGAAACATTTGAGTAAAAACGTTTTCTACACAATCGTTCCACTGTTTTCGGTTGCGCGCAATAATCTGAAATGTTTCGAGCCAAAGGCATCCGTCGTTCCCAGCCGGGCAAGCGTCTGGATCCATCGGGGACTAGACGTGAAGTCATCAAGTCTAAATGCTGTCCTCAGGTGAACGGCTGACCACCGAGTGGTCTCTTCCAGCTGAGTCATTCATGAGCGAACAGGACACTATGAGGTAAACGCGCAGATGACATCCGCAGAATGTGACCAAGCCATCTTAACTGGCACAACAAGACCAGCTTGTTGAAGGGAATACTAGCATCCGTTAAGATACGTCGTCTGGATTGACCGCTGCAAATATGTTGTTGGCACCACTTGATCAATCCAACTCAAGTACCGAGTATCGAAGGCCGAGGGTCAGTGCATGTCATCTACGCGAACTGGCCACGACTCACTACCATATTGCAACATCGTTCAAAAAGAGTTATCGTAAACCCGGTCCATTAGCGAAAGAGAGACATACCGACGATGGCACGTTATTCCAGGTTGACCAGGTTGACCGACGGCAGTTTTGTGATGCAGAGAGGAACTTCCTTTCCATTAGAAATAGTTGTGGATATCCGTAACTCGGGGTTTGGATGTGAATTTTGAGTTGTTTTCCGAGCTGAGTGATTACCTTGAAGACGTTTCGTTGCTAGATTTGGCACCGTTAGCAGTGCGGCTTTAGGGGCCTGGTTCGCAGTGGCTCATGAGCGACTACGGTGTTTAAGTACTTAACGATCGAGTACTGCTTTGAACTTACGTGTTTGCCGACTTTCGGCTCTTCCGGGGATGTTGGTGCGCTCCAGATCGAATTGGAGGTTCCCGGGATCCATATACATGGACGTCAGGCAGATCTGATCGTGTCAACAATGGCTAGGCTGTGTTCATATAGCCTGGAGCCATGCTTTCATCCAGTCTGTCCCTGACAGTATTTGTCACTGTTCCGGTAGCAAATCTCACAGATCACACCACTTGTTTCCTCCTTGCTAAGTTTATCTTTCACTTTGTAGAGTTTACTAGGAAGTGTCTCCGTTGGTTGGTCTGCACTCTTGACCCTAGTAGGTAATAAAGTCTCGCTGCTATTTCAGAAATCCAGTTGACATAGGACGACGTGGCTCTCTTTGTAACTGTCCGTGCATATGGATGCCGAGAATCTTCAATTCGACCTGAAACATGCTAACATCCTCGGAAGAACCATAAACCGGCAAGCACGTAAGTTCATCGAAGCATGGCATTCAATGGACAATGGACAATGGTTTATTACGGGTAAAAAAGCATCGCTTAACAAGTCCCGTGGGATGGAAATTATTGCGAAAATAAATTGCATAATAAAGTGAGAAGCGTTGTGGTGGACTCACCATAGACTTATGTGAAATAGCGGAGATGTTCGCATATTAAACGTATAAATCCATAAATCCAATGGTTGCGCGTTTGGCAAGAAATCGTTTGATTGCGTTTTGTAGCCCCTGGCTAACAAGTCATAAAATGAAATGTAAGTGAGACAATGCATCGTCAACACGTTTTTTAAATATCGCCAGATTGGGAGCAGAGACGACATAATTAGGGAGGGCATTCCAAGGCTCACACACGCGGAGAGAAGAGAAATTTCTACGGCATTCAAGCCGGCTATAATGAATTGTCAGTTTCAGAGGGCGACCTCTTAGTTTAGTGTTGGGGTTCAATTCCAGCAGCGGACGGCAAATGTGGTTTGGGTTCTTCACGATCTGGTAAACCATTAGGAGATCCCCCCGCAAAAGCCGATATCGACTGCTGTACATTCTTAGAGATTTCAGTCTAAGCTGATAGGGCAGATGAAAGAGGCCCCTGACGTTCTTGGTTGCCCGTCGTTGAGGAGTCTCGAGAGCAACGAGATCCTGTTTCTGCCACGGTTGCCACGCCTGAATAGCATATTCCACGTGAGGTGGCACGTAGGCGTTAAGCATTTGGGGAAATATTGATGGTTCAAACCGACCGAAGGCTCTGCGAAGATGGCCGAAGTGTTGATTTCCGGTTCTCCTCGCTTTCTCTGCTTGTTTGGAACACCCGAGATCTTCCTGTACCAATACACCCAGGTCCCGCTCCTGAGAAACCTTCGCCAAGGTGTGGTCTCCAATCTTGTAAGCGCTCACTGGCTGGTGACGCAGATGCATCACTTTGCACTTAGCCATGTTCAATTGAAGCTTGTTCCTATTTGATCATTCGTAAATGCAATCTAGGTCATGTTGGAGCAGATCCTGATCCGTTTTGTTACTAATCGCCCGCCATATCTTGACGTCATCGGCGAAAAGCAGGAAGTTTGAGGAGATGACTCTTGCCAGGTCGTTGATAAACTCCCGGAATAAGCGAGGTCCCAGCACTGAGCCTTGCGAGGGACCACATTCCACCTCATTTGGGTTAGAAAGTGATCCCCTAACACGCACTTGGAGCTTTCGTTGGTAAAGGAAGTTGCCAATCCAACCAAGTACAGGATCTCCGATTCCGTAACTCTGAAGCCGTTGAAGTAGGATGCGGTTATCAAGGCGCTCGAAAGCTTTGGAGAAGTCCAGATAGATGACATCGACTCCGACCCCATCATCGGCCACTTCCGTCCAACTACCTCGTGCAATAAGTAGGTTGGTGGTGCATGACCGGTGTTGACGGAAGCCATGCTGTTCCGCTACCAAGATGTTGCATTTTTACAGGTAGTCCATTAAAGCGTCAGCGACGACTTGCTTATTAATTCCTTGGATATTGAAGTCTCTCATGAGGCACTGCGAACCAGATCCCTGAAGCCGCACTGCTGATGGTGCCTAGTCTAACAACGACACATTTGCAAGATAATCAATCAGATGGGAGAACAACTCAAAATCCGCATTCCTATCAATTTGTGTCATTAGCAGAAACAGCTCCTTAGCGAGACAAAGCTATTCTCCTGTTCAGTCCTTGTACGTTCCAGAATGAGCACAGGAGCGGCTGTGTGCCAATTCTGGAGAAGCACTTGACGCTTTGGGGGGAAGCATATTCCGTATATAGATGTCCCATACGTCAAACGGTTTAGCATGATTTGAATACTCTGCGAGTTGTCACCGTGTAAGACGATGTAATCAGCATAGTCTAAGTCGGTGGTCCGCTTATCCGGTAGTAACTGCAAGCCAAAAATTTCGGCCATCGTCTAGATCTCTCAGCAGGACGTCTTCGATCGCAAAATTGAAGAGAAACAGCGACAAAGGGCAACCCGTCTTACACCATTAGTGACGGCGAAGAACGAAAAATGCATTGCGATAGACCCTCATTCAGCCGGAGACATGTAGGTAGAGGGCTGGTAGGATGTCAGTATACATTTTCGAGATCTCATTCCTTAGCAAACAACGTCATAGCGCAGGTCGACCAACCGAATCAAATTCAACTAGGACGTCTAGGAAGGCAACAATGGTGGACATCTGGTAGAGTTCGTGATGCTGTTAGGGGGGCTGGCGGATGGTGACCCACACACTCATTGCCAGGACGGAAGCCAGCTTATTTTTTCCGGTACTGAGATTCGCGAAGTTGCATGGATGCAACTAGCTTAGGGGCGACGGAAATGAGACTAATCCTCCAGTGACTGGCGCATGAAGTGCGAGCGCTGCTGATGTAAGTCACATTGTTCCAGTCATTTAAGCGAAAAATAACAAAGAATTTGCGTTCATGTAAGGCTACATTTTTGCAGCGTGTGAAAGGAAAGTTTACGAGTCAATGACTGTACTCTTTGAACTATGATATTTGCCTTTCCTTCCGCATGCAACAAGGCGTCGCTGGCAACTTACAAGAGCGGACGAACCACCATACAAGCTGAGCATCACGATCGGAAGGTACAACGGGAATTGAACTCGGTCAAGTTCGGTCGCGCACGTAAATTGTACTGGATCTCAGTGGCCTCTTTCATGATGTTCCTTCTGGTGTTGTTTCTCGGACTCCTAGTCACCTGCCTTCGCTTTATATACATGAACATAATTCTGTCACTGGATGTGGGTGAGATGGTTGGCCCATTGCTGATAGCCTGTTCATTCTTGTTCTTCGGCCTCGGGTTGAAATTTTACTGCGATGCTTATCGACTGGGATGTGAAGAGAGGGCACGTGTAAAAGTAAGTTTGGCAAGTAACGGTTAAATCGTGCACTTAAAACATTTCGCCTCTGTATCAGAACACATACCTATATCTGATTAATCAGTAAAGACCTGTAAATTTATAGACTGGAATTGCAACAACAAGTGTTCCATACACTAGTGTAACTAAGGGCTCTTCTATGTAGTTGTTGCGCCTTCAGACACCAATCTGGTAGCAATGGTTGATTGATCTGAGCATGCTGGCTAACTGAGCTAACCTGAGTACTCGACTACATGTGCCCTGGCCTCCGCAAGTTGTCCGAGCCGTTGCCTTCCCACTGGATGCAATTAAAACCTACGTTAGGGTTCTCCAGAACTTATTCGCGGATAGTCTGATGTGCCAAATTTAGAGAAAACATCTGGGAGAAAAATGGTTATCATTGTTAGCTGTACAGTAGCATATACCTCGGTTCAAGGTTGTTTAGATTACATCAAGTACACGTTGTTGCATAACAAAAGTATTTTCTTACAAAAACCTAATCACCCCACCTGCGCGAACGCAGCTTAAGGATGCAGTGGGCTGAGCGTCCTAGTTCTTCATTTCCAGGGTTTGTGAATGGTCGATGAACCCGTCTCGAAACAGTGTGAGCTCGGTTCCAAGGAATCAATGCGCAAGCAACGTGTTATCCGTCCGTATATCCCACCAGCTTGGTGTCAAGCTGCTGAGCAGTGCTCGAACGCAACAACAACCGTGTATTTCAACTTTCCAAAACCATCCACTATTGCGTCTCGGACAATATGAGCGCGGTTCCCATTTGGGCGAGTTCTCGGGTTAAAACACTTATTACTAATTTAGACGTGTCGAAAAACTACCACATTCGGTAAATGAACATAAAAACGACACATTTATTGACAAATTTATAATAGTTAGTTCACTCTAGCAATTTGAACAATCCGGTAAGGATACGAAAGCTGGTAGATACATGCATCTCGTATTGTCTCCTCAGTACCATTAACAACAACTGATATGTAACTACTGAGCAACTATGGCTATTTATATCATCATCATCATCAACAACAACAGCAGTACATCAGCCATTTGAACTGATGCTTCGCTGCCATACAACCATGAGGACCTATGAAATAGAGAATAAGAAGAGGGAGAGAAGGGGCACTTACCAGAAAACCTTAATGCCCTAAGCAAACATTCAGGGTCAAGGCGCCTACACCTTGTGTTAACAATATACCGTCACAAACAGCTGGCTATCGTGCAAAGATAAGGCGGCATCGGCGAAACAGCTTCCTTGAGGCTTTCACTGCCACGCGTCATAATCAGCCATTACCCCGCAGATAACTCAGCACCAAACACACTTTAAACAGGCAATCCGATTAGGAGACGGCAACAGAAGCGCCACTGGTGTCGGTTGCGAGCCATGTCCTGTAAAGTCTCGAGCCAATCACAAGGCGAGTCACGTGGACTCCAACCCGGAAGGCGAGACGGACCAGCGGCACCCAGCTTGGTCGTCAGTGACTTCATTTCCCGCTGCCAAGTCAACTTCTGTCCACCTCGAGCCTTGCGCCACCCTACACCTGGCAGACTAAACAAGGCCCTCCTAGGTAAGCGGTGACCAGGCATACGTAGCACGTGCTCGAGCCAACGCAACTTATTCAGTGCTATCTGTTGTTTTCGAGAGCAAGCATGATTATCACTACCTAGTACTCGCCTACGCACATCATCGTTGCGGAAACGCTGGTGCCATCCGACTCCAGCAATGCTTCGCAGACAACGATGATCAAAGACTTGAGGGCGCTTTAGATCTTCAGACCGAAAAAGCCAAGTCTCACTCCCATAGAGCAGAACGGCCCTCACTGTGGCCTTGTATACACGGTCTTTCAGACGAAGGGAAACTCCCTTCTGTCGCCAAAGATGCCGCAGGTTTAAGAAGGTACCTCTGGCTTTTGCAATGCGTGAGCTGACGTCAGTTTTTATGCGCCCATCGTTGCTGATGCAGCTACCAAGATAAGTGAAATGATAAACCACCTCGGGTTCCTCATTAGCAAACGTCAAGGGGTAATGAAATTGCTGGTGGTCCTGCAGCAACACTTTGCACTTTGAAGGTGCGAAGTGCATACCAAATAATGGGACCACTTTGGACAGACTATTCAGGGTTGATTGGGCCGCCCCAACATCGTCGAAAAGCAAGACGATATCGTCTGCATAATCTAGATCAACTAACCTTTCACCAGGCAGCACTTCGACGCCTACATCGTGAGATTCCGTAAGGGAACACTCCATGATGGAGTCCACAACGAAATTGAACAAAAATGAGGAAATCGGACAACCCTGACGAACGCCACTTGTGGTCGGAAAGCTATCCGACAGGACATAGCGGTACGATACGAAATGCATGCATCTACCAGCTTTCGTCTTCTTACCGCGTTGTTCGCATTTACTGATGTTCATTTCTATGACGTCACTTTGATTTTCAATTAGACGAAGCGCACAATGAATTTATCTGTTGATTAATTTCAAAATTTCACTCGCGTTCTCTTTTTACGCGCACAGTACAAAGCTGCCAGTCCGTCAACGGTGGCCGTCACCACCGTGAGCGAACGAGAAATTGACACAGAGTAAGTTGACGAAGAGTATGTGCCCAACTGTTCAATCATCATGGTATCTCGTTCATTAAGCTAGACTTTTAATGCTCGCTTTTCAATTTGAGAAACAATCCGATGTGACCTCTATCACTATGCTGACAAAACGAACTCCCGTTTGCCGGCAAACATGTATGCACGATAGGATTAATACTGAATACAGACAATAGATACTATCGAACCACGGCCTCGCCGTTGCTGCGGTGTCTACGTAAAAGTCACCATTGTCAACATTCTCAGTAATTCTGCTGGTATGTCTGAGCCCACCACACCTGAGTCAAACCAGGTAGACACTGTAAACCGTCAGCACACGATAATTCAATGAGTAGTCGGACGGATCAGTAATTTCTCTCCGAGCACGCCAGCACACTACGCTAACGCTATGTTGCCATACGAATCTGACAGATTTAATAGCCTAAGTTAAACGCAGAAAAAGTATGTGTGTGAAAAACGAGGAACCTGCAAAGCCAACGTCACAATTGTGGCTGGCAACCTTGCTAAAAAAAACAACAACAAAGCATTACTTTGGGTTTTGTTCGCCGATAGATTCGCTCAGTAATTGATTGAGTGAGTTCGCACACTTTCAGAGCAAGCGAGCTTGTCGGACAGTGACGGTGTGAGTGTCATCTGTGTTGTTATTTCTGGACCTGTACGAGAACCTCACACACGCATACACGTGGCAGATTGTGCACACCAAATTTTAGAATCTAGACAGAGACCCTGGGTTCCAGTTCACTCGTTAACGATTTCATGTCCCACCGTCGATCTTATCGCAGGCCAATCCGAATGCGGTACCACGGATGCACAAAATAACAACTACGTATAGTCGGTTAGCACCCAAACCACTCAAGCATTTTACTGCTATTTTAATGTTCATGTAAAGTACAGTTATTCTCATGGTTTCAAAGTCGGTGGTGCATTGACACTACTCAGTTGCTTGAAGACGCAGGAGTGCTTCATCGTGAAGCAGAACCACTGACGTTATCCGTTGGCGTAATATCGCCTACTAGTGAGATAGTAGAAAAATTCAATCGGTCACATGTTCCGTGAATCGATGCCAGATACCATCCCTTCGCATCGATTGGCTATTCACTAATACCCTCAGAAGTATAGCAAAGATAGGATAAAGAAGTTGGTTTACAAAAGCTACACTATCTGGCAGTGAACAACCACACCTAAAAAGCGCAGCTATGAACATATGAACGCGATGGCTGTTCGGGAAGTCTCGGGCTAAAAACTAAAGTTATTCAGAGACAAAAATCGGACCTTAGTCTCCTCCAAAGAAATTCCTTTGGGCCGGCATACCCTTCTCTCGACATCTCTGCCACTACAGGCAACATCATTGGAATGCCTTTTCTGATGTGAAATACAGCTGAGCCGTCGCATTTTGTACGATGCCATCTCTGAAATGAAAGCTGTCCATTTTTAGGTATTTGCAGTTTGTGGAACAGTCAAACGTCCCATGGAGTTATGTGGGGAGAGTGTGGAGCTTGACGAATCAATAACGTGACCAGCAGACCCCTTATCGTAGGTGTTCAATATGCTGATGAGTTGTTGCTATGATGAAGCTGCCAAGTGCCCGTTGCTCATAGATCAAGGCACTGGCGTCTCACTGCGTCAACAAGGCGACGGAGAACCTATCGCCAGTACACATTAGGAATTGGTGTGCCGTGTGGTTCATACACATAATAAACTACGCCCCGAGAATAAACAACTGCCAGCATGGTTTTGACATTGCTGCGGACTCGTCTGGCATTTTTCGGCCCCACAAATGATAGATGCTTCTATTGTGATGCGTGAAAATTCGTTTCTAGGCTGGATTCATAAACTCAGGTCTCATCACCCGTGATGAGTGTTGACAGCCCGTAGCATGATTTGTGCGATCTCCAAACGGTATTGTTTCGTTTCGATCGTTAGCAGCTTTAGCACGAAGTTCGTTGAGTTACTCTTGAAACCTAAAGCTTCAATCGAAATGGAATGAACGAGTACATTGCTGATGGTCGCCTTTACTGTAAGTTCTCGGAACGTGATTCGGCGATCGTGCATCACTATTCTTTGCACTTGGTCAATGACAACCCCAATTCCAGCCATCGAAGGCATACCAAATTGTCGTTCACTCACTACTGATGTGCTAGTTCCTGTGATACACTTGTACCATTCATTCAGGCGTCCGGTGCTTATTGTTACGTCACCGAAAGCCTGTTTACTCTTCCGGGTAAGTTGCACTGGGGAATTCCTAAGCTTCACAAAAAAGTTAATGCGGTAACGTTGTTCCATATTTTCAGTCAATTTTTCGAAATGAGTTTGACAGCTCGTATGTACACATCCTCACTTCACTGCAGTTTGACGAGAAATGACTTCTTTCTGCTGCGGGAAAAATACACAGACGTACACAATGGTCATCTTGTTGAGAAAGCAACGCGGTACAGACAAGTTATGTATTAAAGCCCACGCCGAATAACATGGCAGTTCGAACATAGGAACTCAGGCCCATTTGAGTACTTCTTTCGTGGTGTCTTTCTGAACTCCAGCTTCGCTGCGCCCCTTTATTCACAAAGTGTTGGTAAAGGTAGATTTGTTCACCACGCATCCTTTGTCTGCGGGGACCCATGATTTCTCAGATTTCCTTGCCCCTCCTCGTTTCCACACGTACTACGCCTTAGCAGTGCACCACATCAGTCGACCTCCCATGTAATCTCTCCGAACTTCGAGGCTGCTTCATGCATACCGTAGTTTTTACCCTCGACCGTATGACTTCCTCAACTTTCTAGCATGAACTTACCGCAAGCCTCCCTGTCAAGCGATGGTATAAACGGGTCCTCGTCGATCGATTACGTCAAACGGTCCTTTCCACTTCGGCAGGAGTTTTTTTCTTCCCGCAGCTACATACAATCGTGCGTTGGTGATCGTTGCGCTTCATATTCGAGCTGATTCGAAAGTATCCAGACGGTTTCCTCATGTTGACTCGGGATTTCCCCAGCAGCCGGCTCTGAGTTGTCCTCAGCTTCCTGTTTACTACCTTACTGTGAGCACATTGGCAATACGTCGCGCACCAAGTAGAAGTTATGTATTAAAATTTGCGCACCTAATCGTCAGCCCTCGGTAGCTCAGTGGTAGAGCAGCGGACCGGAAATTCGTGGACCGGGGTTCGATTCCCCGTCGTGTGCGTGAATTTTAATTGTGACTTCTACTTTCTGTTGTTCCGTGCTTAGGTTGGTGGTAATAGGCAAGTTAGCCAAACTCCCACCTCCAGATCCACGGGGAGTCAACGTCTGCGGTAGTACTTTAGCTAGAATGGGGATCTCTTGGTGCTTGTTTGCTTTGATGTGCAGTGAGCTCACAAGAGTAGTGGTAAAACTTCTTCTCAACTCCTCTTCGCATCCAGCCATTCCCTAAGGGTCCTATTATTATTATTTGTTAATCCGTTTGTCTAGAGATGGTGGAGATTGGTCCTTACCTTTCTGCTGCCCAGTTCCTCCAAACATGTCCGGAATTCATCACATCCAAAACATGGCCTTGATCTGTCAGTATGGGCTTCGGAATCGCGTGACTCGCTATCACGTGTTTCATCATGGTATGTGTTATCGTCGTAGCCCGTTGATCTGGAATTACCGCGGCTTCAGTCCATCGGGTCAAAGGCTTTCATCATGACTATATAGTGATTGTTACATCTTGTTAACCGGAATGGCGTCATCACGTTGATTTATCACAACTCACCTGTCTCGGACACTGGAATCGACCTCATGGGTAGTGGTGTTCCTTGATTGTCTCCTTTCAAGAACTGACAATGCTGACACGAGAGCACGTAGGAATCGACGTCTTTTTACACGCTAGGCCAGTAACCTCACTGTCTAAGCAAAGCACATATTCTGATACATCCGGTGTGCGTCGTTTCGCGAAAAGAGATCACCAACGTTCTTCCTTATTTCAGGAGCTAACCAGCACTGTGGTGCCGTCTCGCGCTTGTGTCCACATCAGCTGACCGGCAGTGTCTAGGTGTAGCTTTTTCAGCCTAAGCCCGAACGGCCCAAATTGCTGGCCTTGGCTTTTGTTTTCACTAGCTTTACATTATTCGTGCTGTTATATCCCAGTTCAGGTGTATGTCCTTTCGTTGTTCAGCAGGTTATATTCCCGGGTCCTGCTCCAATACTAGACCACTGACATAGAAGGCAATGTCCGGCAAATCATCTTCGTTCGTTATGGGCGAGAAAAGGTCCACCATTCCGTTGTCTTTATTTGGCGTGTGGTTTACCTCGATGACCTATTCTTGTGCGAGCAGCACCCTTCTCCCCAACATGTCTCTGGAGGACCTAATCCATTCCAGCGGTTTGTAATCTGTTTCGATACGAAACCGCTGACCCAGCAAGTACAGCCGCCACTTGTTCACAGCCCGAACAATTTACAGACACTACTTCTCCACTGTCGAATGGCTGCTTTTCGATGGTGTCAAGATTCTGCTAACGTATTCGAAAGCCTCCTACTTCTATTTCAGCACTGCACCGCACAGATTCCGATATCGCCTGCGTCTGTGTCCACCGTAAACGCCTTTCCGGAGATCGGCCATTTCAATTCCTGTCTCCCATCTCCTTCTGAATGTCCTCAAGTGCACTCTGAACTTTTGCTGTCGAAGTGGATTTCTTTCCTTCTTTTAACAGCGGGTACAAAGTTGATCCTGAGCTGTTAAAACCCCAGGTAAATGTACTGTAAGATCCGGCGCAGCCTAAAAGTTTCTAAAGATTGCGTTCTGTGATCGGAACTAAGATACCGCGAATTGCCAATACATTCTTGTACAGTGGCTTGAATTCACCCCGATCCACTTTGTGTTCAGGCAGTGCCAAGCATGTTGTTCCGATTTGAGACTTAGGCCCATTTATCCGTAATTTCGAATGCTGAATTTTCGCAGCATCGCTTCCAGATGACAGTAGTGTTCTGACTCAGCTTCAACATATGGCACGATGTCGTTTACGTACACGGTCACAT